TTTTTTTTTTGGAAACTCAGCGAAGCAAAACCACGACTATATAAATTAACAACCGAGTTGCGCTAAATCCCACTTATCTGTGACTCAAGTTTCCAAAATGTATCCTATTGTCTCCATTTCATCCCACTTTTCTTAAGGTCTATTGTTGTCCACCCTACGCAGTCTTTTATAATCACTTCGAGTGACGATATGATGATCAAGCTATGGGACTGGGATAATAAATGGCAAATGAAGCAGAGTTTTGAAGGTAAGATTGTTTGCGAAATACTCACTGCGAGATTATTAAAAACCTTTTACTAATTTCTTACTAATAAATTTGATTCCAGGTCACACTCACTATGTCATGCAGGTTGCTATCAATCCGAAAGATAACAACACTTTTGCTACTGCTTCACTTGACAAAACAGTCAAGGTTCGTTTGCTGCTAGTTTACTTTCATATGAAATGTTTCAGTATAATCAAATGTTTAACTTTTTATATTACTGTCTTTTCAGGTTTGGCAGTTTGGTAGTCAACAACCTAATTTTACATTAGAAGGACATGACAAAGGAGTAGGTTTTTTGGAGGTTCAATTTAAAACTCAAAGGCAAAGACTGTACATTAGATATGTGTTAAAACATTCAAACATCTCTGAAAAGTGAAAGTAGCATCATCACTGCTTGGGATCATTATTAAGCTCTTTTATTTTTAGGTAAATTGTGTAGATTACTACCATGGAGGCGATAAGCCATATCTTATATCTGGTGCAGACGATCATCTCGTCAAAATTTGGGATTATCAGGTTAGATTGGTCGCACCCTATCTCCGCAATCTTTCTTTCTTTATTTGTTTTCCTAATAGCATTTTTTGTAGAATAAAACATGCGTTCAAACTCTTGATGGTCATGCTCAAAATGTCTCATCGGTATGCTTCCATCCAGAACTTCCACTTATCATCACGGGTATTGTTTTGGCATCTTGCTTATGTAATATCAAACTCAACGCAGATTTGTAGGTAGTGAAGATTCCACTGT